AAGTGCTTAAACCACGCCGTTCCACAATAATTCATAAATCAAAGCCATAGTGAAAACCAGGAGCACGCACACGGCGAAAGGTGGCATATGTATGAGCCACATTGCAGCTGGACAGACCAGTCGTAGCTTCACACGGTTATATATCAAGGGGACCACCCTTAGTTCAGTGGTACCTATAACATATGTCCTATTTCGTCACGTTTCAATTTGATAGTGAATTTCATTTCCATTCACTGTCATCAATCTTGGTTCATCGAAAGCTGCAACACTATGACCTCTGGAATTATTGGCGTGTGACAACAAAGGCGAATAGCGGGGACAGAGACAGCATTATTGACACACTGATGAATTGGTCGAGATGAATAATAATAAACAGTAACACACTATACAAAACACACCGACATGCGGTTCTTCATGTACACCGGACACCAGACGACACGGATAACCTCCGTCGCTTTATCAGACCCAACAACCTGCGTCAGCTGAAAAGCCCTATTTCGTACTCGGTAGACTGCAAATATCAATACCCAGAGACGAAAAGTCATCACTATTTTATTGCACATCATATTTTTGTATGAGTTTACTAAGTAACCGTATCGGTGTTGGTTATATCCCTATTCATACATTTGTCTGTCTATTGTTAGTGTCAACCTTTCTGTTTTAGTTAAAGGCTGTAAGTTAGTTTCTTGCCTAGACTGTACGTAACCACCAACACATATAAAGTTGCGAAAACTGAGAACAGAATTATGCGAGCCGGATCAGAATAGAATTGTCAGGAACACATGCAACGGAAGGAAAGAAGTTCGAGTGAACCAAAAATGGATCCTGAATTAATTAAGAACAAAACAAAGGAAAAGATTTCCTAGAGCACCGTTCTTTAGGAAGAATTTAATGTGCGCATCGAAATCGAATCAGCGTACGCTATACTCAGATAGGAAGAAATTATGAGGATTAGAGTATGCCATTTTGAGCAAAATAATCGAATACGAGGGTGACGAATGAAACAATGCCAAAGCTACAGTCGGATTTTGAACCTGTGCAAACGGAACAGCGAAAATTCTCCCAAAGCAACAACAATATTGTCGCATCCGGCAGCAATCACAATGATAAACAGCGCATTAAGACGAAGCACATGTTTACGCTAGATGCGTATACAATAAGTTGCAGACAGCTAGGGGCATGAAGTTTTAAATTTACCTCACAAATTGCCTAGCGCAGTAGACAATATGGCAGTCCGCTCGAACTTGCGGCACTTGGAATTATGTGTAAATTTGAATGAGAAGTGTTCATTGTCAAACTGGCTCAGTTATTTAACGTCATCACAAATGTGGGAGTTACACACGATGAACATGACATATGAGGGCAAGCGATACGTTTCCGGATACGCAGTACACAGATTAGGTGCAGATGCTTTGGCAAGAAAATGTGAACTGTAATCCGTCTTGAACATTGTTCAGTGATTTCAACTCACAGAACCCTATATCTATCAGCAGCCTATCACAGCTCACAAGGATCGCTATACTTTGACTGTCAGTAGGGAACCCAGATGATGTCACTGGAGGGCGATGATTTTCTATGACCACAAATGTAGTTTAAAACGGCACCAGATTGTTGAGCGATTGCGTGCTACGTTTGGTGATAATACGCCTTCCAGAACCACCGTGTTTCAGTGGTTTGGGGAATTCAAGCGGGGCGGGAGGTCCCTGGCTAATAAGGCACGGTGTGGTCGACCTGTAGACGACAGCACCGCGGACAACATTGTTGCTGTACAAGTGATGCTAGGGGTGGACGCGCGGGTAACAGTGGGACAGTTGGGGAAAGTCATCAGGATCTCATCGTAATCAATCCGCACCGTCCTACATGAAAACGTCGACCTCCGAAAGGTTTCCGCACGCTGAGTAACCCATCAGTTCAGTGAGGACTTGAAAGCATCTCGGGTGATTTGGTGCCGCACCATGCTTGCCAGTTTTGATGGTGGAGGTTCCAATGCCGTCTGGGAGATCCTCAGTAGTGATGAGAGCTGGGTCTGCAGTTTCAACCTAGGGATCAAGCAAAAATCGGCGCAGCGGACAGCCGTCGGTGAGGTGCCGCCTCAGAAATTCCAGCGTGAGCGCAGTGTGGCCAAGCAGATGTTGGCTGCGTACGGGGTCAACTACTGTACCGCGCGTACGGCAACGCACAATCACAGCAGACTGGTGTGTCACCCACTGCCTGCCACAAGTACTGAAAGCTGTAGCCAGGCTTCGTCAAAAGACTTGAGCACAAGGGACCTTGCTGTACCATGACAACGCACTTACATACAGGCCCCATGTCGTCGTACATTTGCTGGATAGCGAACGCATCCAGGGGGTTGGTCACCCATCCTAAAGTCCGGGCCTGACACAATGTGACAATATTGTGTTGCCAAATGTCAAGCGCAGGATGCGTAGAATCCGCTACGAGCCTGCAGAAGAAGAAGTATAGGATTTTATTCAATTGATTGAAGGGTTACCTACATCGGCAAGGTCTGGCTGATTCCCCAAATGGTTTGAGCGAATGGAACTGTGCATGGACGCTGCTGGAGAGTACTTCGAGAAAATGTGATGTTTATTTCGTTGTAAAAAATAAAACCTTGTGTGCGTCCGGAAACTTATCGCTCTACTTTAGTACATGTACCGCTGATAAAAATAAACAGATGTAATAAGGTACTGGTTAGGGATCCAATGCAACTATTGCGAGAAAGAAATCAGCAAGAAGCGCGGTCCGATTGCAGCTGCCTCTATCTTCGCATGATATCTTCCGTCAAAAAAGAACTGTTTGTTAAAGGTACACCGTTGAATTAAATCACTTTTCCGTGGAATGGTAGGAGGACTTGAATGGTATAGGTTAAGCTCTCTGCACGGTAGCAACGTGCAAGCTAATGGATAGTGGGCGGTGCTATATCACATCCAGTAATTTAGTCACATGGGTCTTTACTCCCACTTATAGCCCAGTATTCTTCAATACGGACTGGTAACTGTTGGAATGCGGGTTCTAGCCCCCACACGGACCAGGTGGAACGCGCAGTGATGACGATTTCCGAAAGGATGAAACAGCTGTATAGTGTTTTTCTGGCGAATGATGGCTAGCTGACTGAATATAGATGCGACGAACTTCTACTTATGCCATTTAAATCCCTTGCCACTTCCAATATTCGTTATTCATCATGAGGATCCATGCTACTTGTGCACTCATTGACAGTTGGAGCACCGTCACACATATTGGCGGCCCACCATTGTCGTGTTCCTCGACATCAAAGGCGCCTTCGATTCGGCTGATCGATGAGCTCTTTGAAATTGTCTACTCAGGAAAAGTGTGCCCGAGAAATATGTAAATATTATCCGAGCACTATACGCGCGTAGCACGGGCAGAGTGTGAGCTTACGGCAAGCTGTCGTCACCCTTCAATATCTCCAGCGGTGTGAGACAAGGATACCCGCCGTCACATTTCCTATTCAACTTCGCTATTGACGAACTCATGAAGATTGCATTTACAGGACATGACTTGGAAGATGTGGAGCTACTCCCAGGAGAACGACTTCTTGACTTGGAGTATGCAGACGACATTGCCCTCATCTGTGACAGCTCCCAGACGTGCCAAGCCGCGCTGGACAGATTAGAATTGGCTATCAGCCGCTTCGGGCTTTGCTTTGCACCATTGAAGTGCAAAGCGTTCCTCCAAGATTGGCAAGGATCGCCTCCTGCGCTGACCCTTGGTGGGGATCAGCTAGACGTCGTTCGGAAATTCAACTACCTGGGAAGTTGTATCAGCGCCCTTGGGATCGAAGACGAGATCACGAGCCGTATAGCAAAAGCTCGAAGTGCTTTTGCTAACCTTCACCACCTATGGCGACGGCGCGACATTACCCTCGGCCTGAAGCGTACAGTGTACAATGCAGCAGTACGTTCGACCTTATTGTACGCTTGCGAAACCTGGACCCTAAGATCGGCGGAAATGAAGAGGATAGTTACGCTCGACCATCAGTGCCTTCGCAGTTTGGTTCACATCTGGTGGGAACACCGCGTGAGTAACGAGCGTGTTCGACGCCTTGTTTATGGCACAGGAAAAGGAACTGAACCGCTCAGCACTGTCATTTCACGCACCAGGCTCCGATGGCTCGGCCACGTGTTACGCATGCCAGCCCATCGACTTCCACGAGGTGCGTTGTTTGCTCACCGGGGATGTGGATGAAGAAGAGGAGGGGTGGTCAAGCGATGACTTGGTCAAGAGGAATGAAGGCCCTCACTTCGGATCTGGCCTCGGTTGGAGCGTCTCGGCTCCCTGGTTGGGGTCCAAAAGACGGTGAACACGTTTGGCTGGATACACTTGCCGACATGGCAAGTAGCCGACTTCAGTGGCGTTCCTGTTGTGAGTTTCTTTGTCCCGCCCCATCCTTTTTAGCCTCCCCCTCCACCTGCGATCTCATATCTTAGCGTAAAGCATAATAATTTTTCTTTTTGCCTAGTAGCCGGCTGGTAGCTTACCAGAACGATGCCTATCCGTTGCTGGTAGCTCAGCTGGCATGCAACTTTTGTAGTTATATTTCTTTTTCATTTATGTATTGCGGCACAGTAGCTGAGGTGTTTCCCACCTCTAGCTGACGCGTATAATGATGATGATGATACCACTCCATGGATAAATGATCGAATTCAACGGTAGGTACTTAACAAACAGTACTTGTTCGGCGGAATATACCATGGACCAATAGAGAGTCACAATTAGGCCGCTCCTAACTGACTTGTCCTCACAAAAGTTTACCGAAGCCATATCCGGCATCTTATTACATAGCTTTATTTATATCGGCGGCACATGAACGACATGTTCATCATGTGTGACCCAAACTGACCACATTCTCTTATTGCACGAATTTCAAAATAGGTCTGACATGGTTATGGCATGGATGACAAGCTAGTCCTTAGATATTGTGATGACGAATGAAGAAACATAAAACCAAGCTAAAGAAATAAAGAAATACAACACACCTTATTGTTCGTCGACATCCCTTCAGGAGCCTCCTTCTCTAGTGGAATCGGTGGAACTGGAGCGGGTTCCAGGGGGTAGTCATTGGAGTCACAAACAACGGCACGTGATTCATCAATGGTCATATCAGCATTTGACATGGACTTTGAGGTGATACTGTGACTTTCCAGACTGCTGTCATCAGGCGAGTGAGAGCCAGGGACACGAACTGGGAGCGCCAAGTCCACACTAGTCAAAGCGAAGCATGGGACAAATTTAATGAATCAAATAACGCTAAGTGACAGCAGGAAAACGGATCCCAGGCAATTCGAAAAATGTGGATACGAAGTAATAGAACAACTTAGAAAGAAGGAGTATATGTGACGCAGAAAGAATTTAGTATGAAGCTCATTTAAGTTGCAATCGATGGAGGGAAGTGAAATAAGGGCTGTGTATTTAAGACATAGACGTTCAAAAACATTTGGAGCCACGAACCCACAAACAAGTAACACAACAGTCCGAAAACAACAACACTTTAATTACTATGAAAACGAAGAGCTAACGAGGAAGATAGACAGCTTAGACAGAGAAGAATACCCACAATTGGGACATAGAGGATCAAATCATGGAAGCAAGGAAGAGTTAGCTATGCACAAGATTATGTTCAGGTACACAACCTGGACGCAGGGAAACAGCTGTGGTAGGAACCACTTGATATGTCTCCTTACGTTCAGGCGAACTTCGGCCTTCAAGCATCTCTCTCTCTTCAAAGGGATGCGTAAAATAGACCAAATTGTTCTCCAATTTGGCCAATGTGGAACATATTCGGCAACATTTGAGAACATTGCCCCGTCGAGAAGGATTTCTCACGATTCGAGGGTTGTCATTTTGTCAGTTGCTATAAATAACCCACTGAAACAATAAGGAATGCCTATGTCCACAAGCAATCAGAATAGTGAGCTGTATTGACTTAGAAAGATAATCGCTAGAGAGACCCGATACATATGTACGTCAAGCCGGTGTGAAGGTTTCAACCCTGATGTCATTAAAAGAACAGTGAGTTCAAGGGTTTCCAACAAAAATAGAGGCCAAGCAAAATGTCGAAACGAGAATGTGTGCCCAAGAACGGAGAAGCAGTTGACTACGCTCGACATCCACCAAAGTACCGAGAAAGCGGCAGTCAATGAACTGTGAAATCATGGAGTGTCCAATGCATCATAACTGATGACTGATCATGTGACTAATGTTAGGTAGGCAGTGGGGGGTATGGGTAGATCAGAAATGAGACAATACCGTAGTTACTGGCGTGGTGAAGGGTGAAATTCCCTAGATATTTCAACTTACACATTTTCGAGAACTATCTCAAGGCTATATAGATCTAGTGTAGAGAGAGGCTCCGTGAATTTTGTACAGTTAGCAGGCATCGCGCAGACCAGCGCGATCTTCTCGTGATCTCCGCCTACCCACCCACTGTCTGCAGTTCGGACGCAGTCAAGGACCAGTTCTATCAACATCTACATGAGCTGATCCTAAGGGCGCCTAAACAGAGATCGTTGTTATGGCGGGAGACTTAAACGCAAGTATTGGTCGGCTGCTGCCATGTGAACGTCACCTCGGTGGAACGCATGGGTATGATGTTCGCTCTGAAAATGGAGACTGCTCAGTCTTTGTGTTGAATACCAACCTTTCCCCTCCAGTACGAGCTTCCGTCACCCTGAACGCCACTATGCCACCTGGGATCCTCTATCATTAACCTAGCGCAGGTCACAAATTGATCACGGCCATAAGTCGCAGGTGCCGCGGCAGCGTACGCGATTGCCGATCATTTTGGTTAACTGGTATTGACACCGCTCATGCGCTGGTGTGTGTGATAATCTGTATGCATTTCGGCGGTTCACCCAGACTCAAGAAAACCCGACTCAACACTCAAAAGTTGGAGGATCAAACGGTTAAAAGGTAGTATTATCAGAGGACTACCGAAAATCACACTCTACCCCATGCTTTGGATGTTGATCAACACTGGTCAAATTTGCGACAAGCAATGCTGTCCGCCGACTTGTCCAGCTGCAGACTCACCCGCTGCAAAACCAGAAGCTGGATTTCGGTAAGATTCTCGGAACTGCTAGACGTGGACGGGCTGTGCCCGATTGTTCGGAGCACAATGAACTTTGTCGGTCTCTCAAAAGCTGAAGTCAGACCTTCGCTCTGACTGTGAATCCAGGTGGTCAATACGAGCTGCAGAGATGGAGGCCCCTGCATCGGCTGGAAACTTCCGCAGTTTGTTTTACCACATCAAGACCACTGGTTGTAATTCACAGACAATTTGTGAGTTAGACGGCACGAAAATCACCAGCCAGCACAGGCGATCGGGCCGCTGGACAGAGCAGTTTGCTTTCCAATTTAACTGCTCAGCACAGCCCACTGTGACAGCGCCGTTTCCCTAGGATGGTGCTTGGCCTATCGCCACAGATGCTCCTACCAAAACAGAGATCCGAAGCGCGATCCAATCTTTAAAGCGTCATAAAGTTCCCGGTCCCGACTGCCTACCCCCCGCTGTATTCAAAGATGGCGGGAGTGCACTTGTCAAGGAAATGCTATCACCCTTCACGAGAATTTGGACTGACGAGAAAGTGCATGGGAAGAATCGGCCATGGTCCCGATTCACAAGAAAGGCTCGCGCGAGCATTGCGCTAATTACTGCGGAATTTCGTCGATCTCTGTTGCCTCCAAGATTTTCGTGTCTGTTCTACCCCGCAGGCTCGCAGCGAGTAGAGAAGGCGTTTACCGAGAGGAACAAGCGAGTTTCCGTCCAGGTTGAGGTTGTCTTGACAACATCTTCACACTTCATCATGTCCACCGACGGCCAAAAATTGCAGTGTTCTTGGACACCCGAGCGGCTTTCGACTTAGTAGATAGATCTGCGTTATGGAACTGTCCACTAAGAAAAGATGTGCCCGACAAATTTGTAACCATCTTGAAGGATCTTTACAGTCTCACGTCGGGCAAAGTCAGGGCTTATGGCACGATTCCCACTTCGTTTGCTGTCACCAGCGGCGTGCGCCAAGGTTGCCTCATTTCACCTTTCCTCTTCAATTGTGCCAATAGTCATCTAACAAGTATTGGAAGGCCCTCGAAACTGGGGTACTGAGCTTATTCCAGGTGACAGAGTCGTGGACTTGAACTATGCCGATAATATCGCTTTACTCCGGGACGATCCACAAGCCGTCCAGAGCGCTCTGAGCCGCTTAGCGATGGAGGCATCTAAGTATGGTCTGTGTTTCATGCCAGGCAAATGCAAAGTACTACTCTAGGATTAGCAGATGCCTGTGCCTACCCTCATTATTGCTGGTAACGTACTGGAACAAGTCCACTGCTTCACTTATCTAGGGAGTTGCATCACAGCTGGCGGCTGTATTGGAGATGAGGTCTCACAACGGATCACAAAGGCTCACCTTGCATTCAGCAGACTGAGACATTTATGGCGCGGTCGTGAAGTCAGTCTCAAACTCAATGGCAGGGTGTACATTGTCTCGGTCCGTGCGGTCCTCTCGTACGGTTGTGAGACCTGGCCGACTCGCTCGGAAGAGATAAAACGATTGTCAGTTTTCGGATAATCGTTGTCTGCGTAGGATTGCTCGCATGTGGTGGCAGCATCACGTGAGTAACGCAGAAGTCCGAGAGCGAGTGTTTAGAGCAAACAGCCCATGCCTCCAAATGGTTATGCTCCGACACTGCATGCGTTCGCTCAGCCACGTATTGTGTATGCCGGCCTATCGCCTTCCTCGTCGAGCGTTATTTGCGCTCACCAGAAGCGATTGGAAAAGTGTCGCGGTGAATAACTAATGACGTGGAGAAGGAGCATGAAGAATGCAATCTCAAGGTTAGCATCCGTCGGACGGGATGGGGATGGAGGCCACGCGATTCGAACTGCCAGTGGTTAGAAACGTTGGGGGTAATGGCGCGCAACCGGCAACAGTGGACAGAGGGCTGTTCAACTGTGTTATCTATTAGTTAATGTCTCATCGAACACAAAACCACAAAACACAAAAAATCCCAAAACAGCGTGTGTAAAACCGAAAGAATCGTTTCCCTCATGTAGTATTACGTTTTCCCCCTTTATTCCGCCATGGTTCTGATGGCACATTGTCCATAAGCAGATTGTATGGCTAGTTGGCATGCCGTATGCAACGAGACGGTGCCTGCAGGTGTTAAGCTGAAAGGCTATAGTTTCCCAGTCATGTTCGAAAGAGGATACTCTGCTGAATGATTCGTTCTTCTCCCACCGAAATAAATCCACACGACAAAACTGAGGTAAGATGCCCTGGAAATCACATTCCTGAGAGATAAAGGGTCACTCATCACACATTCTGTATCGTTATATCTGTGCAGAATGACAGCCGAATGGATAGCTAAAAAGCGGCTGTTACACGACTTGGTAACCGATGATATCCTGAGACGGCAATCAAAGAGTGGTAAAACGTTCAGGAAAATGAAGTTGCAAAAAGTTAGAACACGCAGTATACAATGAAAAAAGTGAAAAGATATGAAAGTTTCTAGTCGAGAAAATAGCACAATTCTGGACACCCAAGAAAGAGAGATCTCAGTGATAAGCCAATTACTTGATCATCATAAACAATTCAGTACAGATGATCAATTACTCTTCATGCAACAACGCGCGACAGATAATGTGATACCGACTAACATAGTTACAAGTGAAGAATACACAGAAATAAGATTAAACAAAAATGAACAGCGGCAGCCGCGGTAAAGATCTAGAAATAATGTGCATCGGATGCAGAGGCATCACCGATTTTGTGGCTGCACCCTATCCGAGAAAGTATGCCACCAAATAACGGGGCCGATCACGGAACCCGCATTCGAAAATATGAAAAACAGGTTGTTTCAACCTTTCCTGCTACGTCGTCTAGTGGGCACATCGTGGCCTCACGTAACGCAGGGTGGAAATCGTAAACAATACAAATCGACGTAACTGGTAAGTGGATGCGTGAAGAGCACGATGCACTCACCGAACGTGGTGCGAGTTCAGTAGACCTTACAAGGAAACATCAGAAGATTGGTCGCCATACATCAAATGACAGGATGCAGTGTCCCTCACCCAGTACACTCACGGACTGCAAGCAGAACTTTGAAAGCACCGATAATCAAATATGATCCGTGTCCTAATGTCTTCAGTCCACACTGGCCGTCTCCGATCGATGTACCAAAAGAGACCGCATCACAGCACTGTAGGCACTTCTCTTAACCTCATACTGTTCCAACAGGCGATTGAAAGGGTGAAAGGCTACATGAGTCTTACTAATTTGCTTCGTCGTTGATATGACCACAAGTGCCTAAACAAGAAAAACTGATTACCTACAACCAGCGATTGTCTTGTGGTAATGTGACCTAGTGGTTAGTCGGGACAGCACTGTAACATTAGTTTGTATTTCGAAGGTGAAGAGCGCACCAAACCATTCAGTGGCCGCTCGCGTATTCCAAGTTAGACAGTTGTAGTGGCGTCTCTCAGCCAGCTACGTAATTTGCGTCCCAGCAATTGGCCATTATATCGACTCTACACAGAACCGACTCCCATCAGTTTTTTCTGCAAACACTAATCCTCTGACAGTAATTAAATTCTGCTCGAGGACATCTACCTCCAATTTCAAGCCGAGAAGTATAAGCAACAGGGAGCCACATCAGTACCCCTAACTAAATGAATCGATGCAAAAAAGCAATGAGAGAAAATCCAGCTCGCAATTCCAACTGCAGCATTGCGATGGAATCTATCGGAGAGTGACCGAAACCATCTTCAGAAGACTCAAAACTACCCTAGTATATTTCTCCGTCAGCATAGCAAAGGGTGTAGCTGCACCAACGGCAAATCGCAGATAATATCAGGTGGATTTGAACCATATTGCTCGGGGGATGTATGGTATGAAGAGGATGGCAGCAAACCACCGTATTCTTCGACATTAAAGATATTTTCCATTCAGAAGATGAATGTGCTCTTTAGGATTATATGCCTAAGAAAATATGTGCTTTAGAAATATGTAAACACAATCAGAGTGCTTTGTGCGCGTAATTCTGACAAAGTCAGGGCTTATAGAAAGCTGTCGCAGCCCTTCAGTTCTCCAGCTCCGTGAGACAAAGATACGCTGTGTCAATGTTTTAAAGCACTATTGATGAGATGAACGAAAAGCGTTCGCCGGAGAAGATTTGGAGTTATTCCCAAATGATGCACTTCTCAATTTCGAGTGTACCAACATTATTCTCCTCATCTTGACAATCAAAAAATCTATCAAACAGCAGTAGACAGATGGGCACTAGCGGTCAACCGTTTCAGGCTCTGTATTGACAGGAACAAAACCCTGCACTGACCCTTTGCGGGAGACCAGCTTGAGGTCGCTCGGAAAATTAATTGCCTGGACAACTATATCGGCGCCTGTGGAATAGTAGCTAAAGTGATAAACTGCTTAGGAAAGCTGTCAATCGCTTTTCTTAGTCTTCTTTACTCAAGGCGCCAGTGCGGTATCACCCTTGTCCTGAAGGTTAGAGTCTGCAATGCTACCGCTCGTTTAACTCTGTTATACGGCTGTGAAACTTGTCCCCTCAGATCGGTGCCTCCGCAATGTAGTTCACATTTGCTGGGAACATCATTTGGGCAATAAGCATATTCACCGTCTTGTTTATGGCGCGGGTAGAGCAAGTGAACAACTCGGCAATAGGCTCGGATGGCTGACCATGTTGTATGAATGTCAGTACACTGACTCAAGAGACATGCATTGTTTGCGCGACCGACGTCTGAATGTAGGAAGAGAAGAAGAGGCCAACCGCTGGCATGATCATGAGGAATGGAGGACCTCACATCGAACGTGGCTACTGTTAGCGGCTCCAGACTGCCTGGTTTTGGTTGGAAAGACGAGGAAAACAATTAGTTGGCGACATTTATTGACACGATGAAGAACCGACTTCTGTGGCAATGGTGTTGTGTTTTTGTCCAGCTACCTCACTCTTAGCTTTCTTAACCAACCAAGATGTCATTGTTAACACATAATAAAAGCAAGGAACAATATGTTCTTTTTTCAAGACTAGATAATAGTATTACGTTGCGGCTAAGGTGTTTCTCACCTTTAACACCGGTCACAAACCAGTGAACAAAGAATTTTCTTCCCGACTGTCTGAAGTACTCCATGGTGCCTGTGCACGTAATTGGGACCGAAATTTACTCAAAAATCAGTTGGTTAGTTAGATAGCTGAATGTTACCGATATCGTTGAGGCGTATAAACGATGACTAATATGGACACTCCAGTCTAGTGGGTTAGCATTATATGGTTCCATTAGACGAAATAATGCATCGAAAGTGGCGTCACTTGTGAACTTGGGAAGCATTGCGATCAATCGAAACTGCCCATCTATTGGATGGAGACGAGCCGCAATCTGTGTTAATATGGCGAAGCACTGTTATTTGAAAGAGAGAACGTGCCGATTGAGCAGAAGATTAAGGAAGAAAAGAAGAAACGGTATCAGAAAAGGAAGGCGAGTAGATATCAGCAACAGCGTGAAGTGAGTCCAGGAGAAATTCGTAACTAATGAAACTTATAAGATGTACTTATGATTTGAAGAAGAAAGTAAAATTACTAGGCTCACTCGATTGGAGACAACTCCAATGCAGTGGAGGCTTCCTTGTGATGCACCGGGATTGGTAGTGGGGATAACGCAGCAGAGGACATATTTTGGTGAGGAACTGGACGAGGAGTGGTAGCGATCTTGCGAGCGGGAAGGGGAGCTGAGTCGGCCATAGGATTCGGAGTGAAAGCCGTGGGTAAAGCCATTGGCAGTTGGTGGTATTCTGACATTACTTTGCTACGACGATAAACACGAGTATTGGGCCTTGGAATAGCTCGCTGATTTCCACTTATTTCTGGCAGTGTGCCAGTTTCCGTATTAATAGTATCGGCCATGACGGAGTCTGAGATCAGAATAAAGGACAATTTAGTGCTACACGGCGATAAAAATCCACAGGTTCCAAAGACGGAGGAGTGAGTCAGGGTTAAATACAAGACGCAAGGAAAAATTGTAAAAAAGCTGTATGAGAAATTGACCGAAAAGGTGGCAAAACCAGCAAACTATGTCATGTGATACCTCACATGTGTGTCTGATCAGTGGCTGAGTGTATGCATAAAGTAAGTAGCACCGTTGGATGCCATTAGCACTACACACTAAACTCTTCCATTTTCGAACATCAGTGATTCACATTTAAAACATGTATTCCGTCTGAGACCTCATAGCTCTATCCAACCAGGATGTATTGTGTGAGCACAATCAGATAGCAGTGGCAATCAATACCAAGAGGAAAGGTCCTAATTGCTTGCTTACATCTTGTCGCATGACTGAGAGGAAAAAATCCCAACATTGAGGGAGCCTCCATCTCTCAACCCTGGGATAGTGCAACAACCCAAGCACTCCCTGTGAGATTCATGTAATTCGAATTCCAGTCCGAGTCTGTGGTTACAGCCCTCGAACTAAGGTACGTCACAATACTGTTCTTCCATGACTCATTCCGTTTGTATACGTTCATGCATGAACGTTCGCCGCCACTCGTCGCTTTAATTACACTGAACGTTGTGCGTTTCCAATGTGACGCTCTCGTGTTTTGAGCTGATCTGTCATGTCTGATCCCTTCGTGTCGCTTGCGCTTTCCTCTGAGAGAGCAAGCCATGCAGTGACCTCATTCACCCACGTACACCGCGGCGCACCGTCATATTGGTATAGGTGTCACACAAACACGCCACGTGAAGACCAGTAACTTGCACAAGATCC